GATTGCAGCTTTCCTGGGGAGTGTTGCATGTGAATGGAATCAGATCTGAAAATGGACTCTGTAAGATTAAAGGGAACATACAACTTTAACAGATCCCCTCAAAGAAATTAACCGACCCATAAGCTCTCCTTCCAGCAGGGTGTAGGAGGAAATTGTTTAGCTAAACTTTATGGTAAAACCACCTGGAGATGAAGGATAGTCTAGTAGCTAGGGCACTCTGCCACTGACTTCCTCTGTGACCTTAGGTAAGTTGCTTAGCCTCTCTGTGCTTCAGTTTCTTATCTATAAAATAAGGATACTAGTCCTATCTCACAATGGGGGTTTGAGGTGCTCAGGTAGCATGGTAATGGAAGATTTAAGTAATGCTAATTTGTATTGCTCACACCTTCAGCCATCTTATTCTCAGGCTTCAGAGTTCTAACCTCCTTGAAGTAGTTGTGGCATAACTTGCCATACCTTCCCCTTCATGAACAAGGTCAGCTCCCAGACTGCTGCACTGGGCAGCACAGCATGGGGAGGAGGTGACCAGCCCTCTGTGGAGAAAGAAGTGGTTCGGGACTATTTAGAAAAGCTGGACGAGCACAAATCCATGGGGCCAGATGCGCTGCATCCGAGAGTGCTAAAGGAGTTGGCGGATGTGATTGCAGAGCCATTGGCCATTATCTTTGAAAACTCATGGCGATCTGGGAAAGTCCTGGACTACTGGAAAAAGGCTAATGTAGTGCCCATCTTTAAAAAAGGGAAGAAGGAGGATCCTGGGAACTACAGGCCAGTCAGCCTCACCTCAGTCCCTGGAAAAATCATGGAGCAGGTCCTCAAGGAATCAATTCTGAAGCATTTAGAGGAGAGGAAAGTGATCAGGAACAGTCAGCATGGATTCACCAAGGGCAAGTCATGCCTGACTAATCTAATTGCCTTCTATGAAGAGATAACTGGCTCTGTGGATGAGGGGAAAGTGGTGGACGTGTTGTTCCTTGACTTTAGCGAAGCTTTTGACACGGTCTCCCACAGTATTCTTGCCAGCAAGTTAAAGTATGGGCTGGATGAATGGACTATAATGTGGATAGAAAGTTGGCTAGATTGTCGGGCTCAACGGGTAGTGATCAATGGCTCCATATCTAGATGGCAGCCGGTATCAAGTGGAGTGCCCCAAGGGTCGGTCCTCGGGCCGGTTTTGTTCAATATCTTCATAAATGATCGGGAGGATGGTGTGGATTGCACCCTCAGCAAGTTTGCAGATGACACTAAACTGGGAGGAGAGGTAGATACGCTGGAGGGTAGGGATAGGATACAGAGGGACCTAGACAACTTAGAGGATTGGGCCAAAAGAAATCTGAGGTTCAACAAGGACAAGTGCAGAGTCCTGCACTTAGGCCAGAAGAATCCCTTGCACCGCTACAGACTAGGGACCGAATGGCTCGGCAGCAGTTCTGCAGAAAAGGACCTAGGGGTTACAGTGGATGAGAAGCTGGATATGAGTCAACAGTGTGCCCTTGTTGCCAAGAAGGCCAATGGCATTTTGGGATGTATAAGTAGGGGCATTGCCAGCAGATCGAGGGATGTGATCGTTCCCCTCTATTCGACATTGGTGAGGCCTCATGTGGAGTCCTGTGTCCAGTTTTGGGCCCCACACTACAAGAAGGATGTGAAAAAATTGGAAAACATCCAGTGGAGGGCAACCAAAATGATTAGGGGACTGGAACACATGACTTCTGAGGAGAGGCTGAGGGAACTGGGATTGTTTAGTCTGCGGAAGAGAAGAATGAGGGGGGATTTGATAGCTGCTTTCAACTACCTGAACGGGGGTTCCAAAGAGGATGGATCTAGACTGTTCTCAGTGGTAGCTGATGACAGAACACGGAGTAATGGTCTCAAGTTGCAGTGGGGGAGGTTTAGGTTGGATATTAGGAAAAACTTTTTCACTAGGAGGGTGGTGAAACACTGGAATGCATTACCTAGGGAGGTGATGGAATCTCCTTCCTTAGATATTTTTAAGGTCAGGCTTGACAAAGCCCTGGCTGGGATGACTTAGTTGGGGATTGGCCCTGCTTTGAGCAGGGGGTTGGACTAGATGACCTCAGGGTTGGAAGGGACCTCAGGAGATTCTATGATTCTATTAGAATGTACAGAGGCAACCTTTCCTAGGAGAGCTTGGCCTGGCCAGATCCTTCTCTTTTTAGAAACCTAACTGTGCTCTCTTCTCCAAGACCTACTTAGTATATAACTGTAAGTATTTGAAGTTAAGTCTTAGAAACAAAAATGGGGAAGGGTGAAAGGCCACCAAGCCAGCTCCTTCCCATTTGGGGTGATCAGTGTATTCTCCCCACCTCTTCATGCAAGACTTCCTCTTGAAGTTGGAGGTTGCCAACAGCCCCAACTCACTGTTAATAAACGTAGAGAGGAAAGGAGAATCAGCTTGTCTGTACTGTATTTTTTATGATGCAAGTATCTACACACTTCCATGGTGCTTGAGTAATTTCAGGGTAGATAAAAATCAATGATTTTTTTTTTTTAAATCATTTTTTTTTATTTAAAGTGGATTTTTTTGATAAACTTTTTGAGGAAAAAACCTATTTAAAGATACATTCTCGCTCAAAGATATCTCATCATGGAATAGTATTAATTCTATAGTGTGAGACAATATATTCATGTAATATTTAAGAAACATTTTGTAAATGAGTTCCAAAGGTTCATGGATTAGGGACCCAATCTTATGGAGTTCCAGGGGCTTCTGTATAGATTACTTAGGTTAATCTTCCTATCTACCCAATGGGACTCAGTGCTCAGTCTAGAAGATACCATCAGAGATGCTTAGTTTTGCAGTTCTCAAACTGTGGATTTGTCTCCAGAGGTAACATGCTTGTTAACAGCAAAAATGTTTTAAAATCAATAATATATAGAGGTGAGAAATAAAAGACCTCAACTCTATTGTCCCTCTGGAAACTTGTGTACACAGAGTCAATTCCTTACCTCTCTCTAAAAGTGCAAACTTTCAAAAAGTTCAATGAATAGAAGATTGTTGCGGGTGGAATAGATCTGGACGAGGAGAAGAAGTCTGGAGTTAAATGTGAGAAGTGAGGAACCTGTGCTTGTTTTGTTAAAATATGTTTGCTGTTGAAGAAAAAAATCCAGAATACTCAATGTTTTTTAGTTAAATAAAACAATTTAAATGTCTGTCTGGTGATTATCTCCTCCATATAGCATGGCAAGAAAATCCTGCAAATATTGATAGTTCACCTCCCAGTGACTTCATAAATATCTGCTTCAGTTACCTTTGGTAAATGAAATAACCAAACAATCATTAGTTTTACAGCTCTATCAGAAAATGAATCTGAAAAGTTTTCAAAATAAATCACTGTTTAAAAATGTATAGTGTGTACCTTCTAAAAATGAAACCTACATCCATCTCTGAGTTATGAAGACTCTATTAAGGCTATAACAACCCCCAAGAATGCACTTTATGTAGAAATCCATGATTAAATTGAGTCTTCCTGACTAGTGATTTAAATCAAATCCACCCTGAGTAATTTCTCCCACCTGAACATAACTTATTAGAAATCTAGTGCCCCACAGAGTATTCTTACTGTTCAGTTCACTACACATCAGCTATCCTACCAGGTGCAAAGGTCCGTTTCCCATGCTGCTGCTTTGTGTAGTAGAATCTCTTCAGAAGATTCCCCTTCCTGGAAAATCCTTTTCCCCTTAAAGGAATTCATGTTTAAGTTCAACTAGCTCACAGTGTGGAGTAGTTGAAAGGACAATGAAGTCCTAGCTCCTAAGTGGAAGAATTAATCAAGTTTTCAACTCTGTTTTTATTCCAAGTTTTATAAACTAGGTTACTATGGAACCTCATGCTTTCCCTATATTAAGTGTAACCCCTCTTGTTCTCTCAGCCTCCACTTGTCCGAGAAGACTGACCATTAGAAGGGAGATACCGGCATCTTTATTTCAAACAAGCTAGGTCAGGCTGAACTGCTGCAACTTTTAATTAACTTTTATCTTCAACTTTAATGAGACAATTTAATTTTCATTAGTTTTAAATGCTATAGAAGTGGATAAAATTAATTTTTGTATAAGCTTAAGCTTTTAGCTTGTCTGAAAAGGTGTTTCCTGATTTGATTTTTTCCAATAACTGCAATTCTCACGTAACTTTTCTTGAGCCTCATTTATTCCTAATATCTTACATAAGAACAGCCATACTAGGTCAGACCAAAGGTATCCCAGTATCCTGTCCCCTGACAGTGGCCAATGGCAGGTGCCCTAAAGGGAATGAACAGACAGGTTATCATCAAGTGATCCATGCCCTGTCACCCAATCCCAGCTTCTGGCAAACAGAGGCTCGGGACACCATTCTAGCCCATCTTCAGCTAACAGGTGTGAGTGGAGAGCTATATTGTGTTTTACAGGGTCAAAACATTGCAGCACCACCTTGCTGTAGGCTTCCTTCTGAATGGAGTTCAAGTAGGGGTTAGTGAATGCTCTAGGCTCCAGCTGTACTTCCTGGAGAAGCAAAGAAAGTGGCTGCTTTGCAGTAGCTCTAAAATTAAGAGAATGTAGAAGAAAAGTGATTCTAGAGGCATCCCTCAGAGGAGGTGACCAAACCATGACCAAGATTGATACCCTCAGCGTGGTTGAGCTTTACTTCTGTATCAGTTAGCGTGGTGTCAGATTCTGCCCAGAGCCAGTCTAAAACAACATGAAGATTCACATCCCAATCAGGTGTCTGATAGAGAAACCCTGACCTGGGTGTTCCTTTTACTCATGGGACCAATGGTTGCATGCATCAGGCTGTTCTCCCAGTCAGGCTGTTCATTTCTTTTCTGGGTGGGCCCAGGCCAAAGCTTTAGTTCATCTGTTCTGTCCGCTGGTAGACACCCCTTCTGGCCTTTAATATGCATTGCCTAAATTCTTGCCCTATTTAAACTTCTGTGACTTGCTAGGAAAGCTTTTTGTACCATTTTCTGCTACCCATTTTAAATAACATGGAAGCAAATTTCACATCTAGTACGAGTATTTTTATTAAGTTTATTGTACAAAGGATAAATGAAGCCAGCTCCTTTTTTGTAAAGGTTAACTGCTACTCAGGACGTGACCAGAGCATGTTTCTTGGTGTGACGGTCACACTACAAAACACCACTCATATCATAGCGGGCATAACACTGGTGAGAGAGATGTCCCCAGCAATGCTGAGTTTGGTGATTTCATTCAGGTTCTTCATCCGGTAGCTGAACTGCAGCAAATGAGCATCGTTGACAGCTACCTTGAAATGGTCTGTCTCACACAGAATGTGGATCTGAAAAATGTGAGTCAGGCAGATGAGTTTAACATGGCATTTGTTTCAGGGATTGTCTGTCAGGCTACAGGGACTGTGGCCACTGTTCTGAATCAAGCCTAGGTTAATAGTGACTGGGAGCCATTGTCCCACTGGCATCAGCTAGCAGTGGTTGTGAAACAAGTTGGTACTGGGAGAGTAAGTGTCTATCGCAAAAAATGGCCATTCGCCTTTCTGCTGCCATTCCACTGATCAAAGATGCTGATTAAAGTATCCCTCACGAGCCCTCATCGCTCCAGAGCTGTCGGGAAAGCTTTGCCGTGAGGCTGACATCCATGCTCTGCCAGTTCTGTGGACGGGGGACCTAACTGTCAAGCTCTGATAGCTTTCACAAGCACTTAATTCTGCATCCCTTTTCCCGAATTGAAGCCAAGTGTTTGTTCGGTCCCTTCTCCCTTATGAGGACTAGTTCAGTAAAATTTGCTTCTGAGTCTTGTCCACCACTGCACGCTATCCTGTGAGTTACAGTTCCCTGTTAAACCCCAGGCTCCCTTGTAAAATGGTCAAGAATATCTAGCAGTCCAGACACCTACTCACCAGCCCTGCTCAACAACGGGCTGTTTTACTTGCCTGGGCTGAGTACAGCTTTGCAAGGCTGTTTTAAACATTGAGCGAGCGGGGCCCTGAATACTGTAACTCTACTTCCATATGTTCCAGTGGTGATGTGTAAGCTGGGGAACTGCTTCACCAGCCAGGGAAGGGAAAAAACACTCCCTGCTTCAGGGCCTTAGAAGGAATTTCTTCAGGGCTTGTTTTTTATCCACCAAGCCACCATAAAACCAAAGAGCAAATCAATGGTAACAGGACATTTGCTTCCTATGGTATAGACTTTTTCCTGTGTTAGCTAGCCAGGTGAGGCAAAGGCACACCCCTTTGATCCTATGCCCCAGCCCCTGGTCGACAGGCAGGGACCTGCTAACCCTTGAGAGGTTGCAGCACCTTTACCTTGTCAGCCTGGCTTTGACCAAACACTAGACTGTTCTGTAGAAAGGGTTCCTTGACAAGCAGTTTTCTGCATCAGCTGGCTTTCCCTGTGATCTGCTGGGAGACCTCCCTGATCTGCACCATAAGGCCTATGATTACAGCTCTGTGTAGCAGCCCAATTAGTAACTATTAAAGAGAGGCAACATGAGTGTGGGGGGGGAGTTTTGAGGGGGTAAAAGCTGAGCCTTGGCAGGAGGGTTGAGAAAGGTATGGAATGGATACATTTTATGAAGTTGCCAATTAAGGTAAGACCCACCTTAACATGGCCCTTACAAAAGCAGGTTTCTTTATAACCAGACTCACTGGACTTTCTCCTTTGTGCAAGCAGCAAAGTCTTTACTCCATGGCCCTTAGCTTGTCCTGCTATGGCCAGCCCTGGCTGGTAGGGACCCTAGTCTTATCTGTCACATTGCATCTCAGAGAAGCTACTATCACTTTTACACAGTCCTGGCATCAGAAGGCATGTAACTTGCATGTGGCTTTTGAATTTAGTGCTGTTAAAAGGTACCAGCATGACAGCCCTGGCAATTTAAGTCCTCTATCCACCAAAAGGGACAATAGCCCTGTGAGCCTCCCAGGGCTGCTGGGTGAACGTGCTGGAAGGACCAGCTGTAGGGCTGCAAGGGCAGCTTCTTGTTTATGCCCATTCACCTAGATTGCTAAAGACAAGGGCCAGTTAGTACCACGGTAGTGAACTTTTTGCAACGGGGCACTGGAGTCGGTGAACACTCCTGTCCAATATATGGCATTTAGGAGCAGATATTTAGAAAATACACATTTAAAGTTTGTGTAGCACCAGGTATACCAGTCACCAGGCCTGCTGGGTAAAGTTTAGTTTATACCTTAAAAGGTTTGCCAGCTTCAAATGGAAACCTGGGCGAGGTTCTCTCCTCCTTTCCCCAGTTATTCTGAATCATTGAATTACAGACAATGACTTGTCTGTTTTCCTCGTTGAAGCGGGGATTAAAGTGGAAGGCGATATCATGCCCTTTCTTGAAATCCAGTGAAAATCTGCAAGAGATCGATAACTGCTCTTTCCACAGCCCCTGAACTGTATTGTGGTACAGCTCGTAGGCTATTTCCCACAGCATTTGCCTTTAGGCCCAGAAAGCAGAGGAGTAAGTCATGAAAACAAGGTAATACGTTTCTGGCTGCACTGACTCTAGTACAGCTTAGGCCACGTTCCAAAGCAGAAAGTCAAGAAACTGCTGTCCTGCCAAAAAGTGCATTCATCTTTCAGGAGGGTGGTGCCTGAATGAGAAGTTACACAATCGTAATGAAACAGGCAGCCCTGGGTCCTGCTTTCACTGATTTAGCAAGTCAGCAACTCCCGGTGTGCCTAAAATTACAAACACACGGTACACTACACGTTGCACTCTGACTGGTTGACTATCCCTGCCCCATAATCATGGCTTCCCCAGTGAACCCCTCATCTGAATTACTGCTTCTATAGCACCTTCCACACGCCAATTTGCATTTATAATGGATAGTTTGAGAAACTTCTGCTTAATGAAAGGGCAATTCATCAGGAAGCAGAGGCTGCATTGAGTTAGGATAAAATAGCAAACGTGGAGGTGTAGTTCAGATTACAGATGACTAGACCCTGACCAAAAGGGAGGATATGCGACCTCCCCACGTGACTCCTCCCCGCCTGGGGCCCCCATGCTGGGGTGGGGAGGGGCTCTGTCCTTCCACTGGGCCAGCTCCCACTGGCATGTTCAGAGGCTCTCCCTAGCAGCCAGGACTCGGAGCCACTCCTGGATGCTGCCCGGGAGTGGCTCCGGGGCTTCTGCTTTTGAATGTTGCCTAAGCTGTACTAAGCCAGTCAGTAGCTGCCTGGGAGAGCACCTCGATGCGACTGGGCTGCCTCCCGCCCGGGCTTGGCTTCCAGGACAGTGCTGAGTGAGTTGGAGCCCCCCAGGCCCCTCCAGCATGCTCAGAGTCGGCTCCTGTGCCCAGACACTGAGCCTGGGCAGGGGGCAGCCTGCCACTGCTGCAGCCAGACATTCTCCCAGGCAGCTGCTGCGCTGCACCGGGCAGCATGGCTGGAAGAGGCTCTGGCCCCCGCCCAGGCTGGCTGCTGGAGGGGCACTTGGCCCTTCGTGCACCTCCCACGAGTGGCCTCTCTGATCTGATCAGCCTGTCTGGTGGGGTAACGCCCGAGTGCTGCAGATTGGGCCCTGTCGTGCCTGTGTGGGGCGTTAGGGGAGCCGCTCTGGGGCACAAAGGTCAAGTGGAGTTTTGTTCACATCAGACTGTAGTGCGAATTCAGTTGCTACACCCCCTGCTTCTCCAGAGTTAACCAAGATCCAGCTGGAGAAGGGTTTGGCCACAGCTAGAAATAAAGTTCCACTCGGAGTTGTCATAGCAACCCCTTCGATCCCCTGGGGTGCGTCAACAGGACAGACCTGTGCCTTTAGGCACCGCCTGGAGCAAGGGCTGTGGCGTGAGCTGCACCCGTCCAGGAGTAGCTGTGGACGTCGCAGAGGCTCAGTTGTCTGTCCCTGCCCACAGAGTAATTCAATGCTGGCCGAGCCCAGCAGGAAATCGAGGCAGCCCTTACGCCAGCTCAGCCGCACTGGCCCCCACACCAGCGAGGACAGAGACACGGCTGTACCCACGCCCTGTCCCTGATGGAAGCAACCAGCAAACAGCACCCAGTGACTCCTGCACCCTCACACACACGCCCCCTGCCAGCTGTCCGGGGGATTCTGACTCCCCTTTCTGCTCCTGCAGAGGTGCACAGAGCAAGGCACAACCTAGCCATCGTTAATCCAGCGCGTGCCTCCTGGCATCGTCACCCTGGCTCCGTTTGGGATACTCATTGCTCCGTCTCCCTTTACCTGGAGGGGTTCGGATTCACCGTCCCCACGATTGTTATCAACAAGCGAGGCACGAGGCCGGTCTGCAAGGGCAGGTCAAAGGGGACTCTCTGTGAAAAAACACAGACTTTTCATTAGCAAGAACCGGACTTGTAGCCGACATTTAAAACCATCTATATAAAAATACGCAGCCAAATCCTAAATTCTCATAACTCGACAGTAATCGGAGGAACACAACAGGCTCCTCAGGAGACTGTTAGACACCCGGCTGTCTGACCCACGTAGGAAAGCTACCCCCTGAGCCCCTCTCACCCCTAGCTAGCATTAAAGGGACGCTGACTGAAGACTTCCCAGTTACTGGTGCTTAACAATATAAATGTAGCTGGGAGCTAATGACTTAAGATCTCTGTCAAGGAAACAAGTTTGCCTGGAAAGGGCATAAATGGTATTTTCTGGGAAGTTTGTTTTAGAAATTGCAATAGTGGCTTGTTCCTCAGGAATTAAAATGTTCAGGGATCATTTGGATGCAAGGTGACAACAAGGAGCATGGTGTTTTTCAGCGCTATCCGTTTCTTCCAGCAAGATCCCAGCTCTGTAACATCTCCTTACTCACCATGAAGGATCAGGGACACACGCTGGTACTTTCACCTCCCAGGCAGCAACAATATCGCGCTAAAGGCCTGGGTGACAGCACTGTGGGCCTGATCCTGTAGGGGCCCGAGCACTCTCAATGCCTACGGACGCTGGGAGGCAGGAGGGCACTTTGCACCTTCCAGGAAGGATTCTGCACCTTGCAAAACTGAGCAGCATGTGCTCTGGTTCCTAATTCATACTCGACTGCATTCTCAGTCAGTCAGGTCCCACCTGTTCTCAGCCTATCAGACACTGCAGATTGTCTAAGAACTGGAAGCTATTCAAAAATTATATAGCTGTCACCAGTGGAGCAGTAGGTCCCCCTGGCTGAGGGGCAAATCCAAATCCAGGTCCAACTTGTGGAGCAGTAGGAGGTGCTCCAGGATAGGCCCCCGGTGCTCCAGGATAGGCCCCCGGTGCCCCAGGATAGGCCCCCGGTGCCCCAGGATAGGCCCCCGGTGCCCCAGGATAGGCCCAAGGACCAGCAGGTTGATTTCCCCAGGGACCAGCAGGCCAGCCTTGGTTTGGAGGAGCATTTGGGTTTGTGTTACCGGGTCCAGATAAGGCATCAGATAGCTGGATGGAAGACAAAACATCGTCAGTATGCTGCCATTGCATCCTGCCAGCCAATGTGAGTCTGTTTTGATTCCTTACATGCTTCTGTCTCTAGGTACTTTACAGGGAGAAAGGACAGGCAGAGACCAGAACATCAAACAGCAGGGTCATTATCATTCTACCTCTTGACCAGGAGAGGGGGGTTTGGAATGTGTTTCACAAACTACAGGATCTGGCCTCTCACTCGACAGAGCCTTGAGATCCAGAGTGGCATGGAGTGGGATTGGAGAGAGAGCCCTAGGGAGGTTAGAAAGAAGGGGAGGTTGGCTTGCAGGTAAGGAGGGGCAGGGATTGGACCAGTACAGGCTAGTCTGGAGTCTCTCTATATGACCCAAAGACTGTGAATGCCAACTGGCAGAGGGCACAGGGATCCCCTGGGTTCACCAAAATAATGTCATGTAAGGTCTCTAATGAAAAACCTCTGGCACACTGGTCATCATCATCGTGAGATGTCTGTATGGAAAACATGAAGAGTTACACATATATGCAGCAAATTATGTTCTCTAGGCCTTGTGTTTAAAGGCAGAGCACTCAAAGGTAGTGTCCCTTGAGGGAAACTTCTCCAGACAGGAAGAGGAGACGTTTATCTCCCTGCTGGACCACTGTTGTGTCTTACAGTAGAAGTCTATTAACACACTGAGTCAAATGCTAATGAAGAGCTTGTGGAGACTTAAGAAGGAAATTAACAGGAAGAGGCAAATTGAGGAGGGACCCCAGTTTTCACATGAATCTCAAAGATCTGTTCTGGTATATTTGCCGGGGGGGGGGGGGGTGCGGTGTTGCAGAGAGATGCTTTGGCACCCTTCAATCTCTAAGGCACGTTGCCAACAGGCTTGATCTTTTGAAAAGGGATCTCAGCCATAACAGTGGGAAAAGGACTTGGAGTAAGCTACCCTGTTGAGACAGGAAAAGTCTTGTGAGTTAAGTTTAAGCTCTAGAAAGCATGTTATAATTTTGTTTTATATGTAACCATTTGTTTCCAATATTCTTACTCACTATCCGCTCTTTGATGATAAACTTATCCTTGTTTTCACTATAAATATATCTAAGTGCTGTGTTTTCAGCAGACTGATGGTCCTGAGTTGTATCTTGTAAACTGGTGTGTGCTATTCCCTTGGGAGTAGAGGACATGCGAGTTCTGTGAGTGTTCAGTGGATCAGGGACTGGGCACTTCAGAGGGACACTCTGAGGAGTCAGGGGTTGCTAACCTGTCCAGGGAGCACGAGGCCTGCAGAGGCCTGGAAGGCAGCTTGTGTTGCAAGAGGGCAGTGGAGTCAGGGAGCTGATCCAGACAAGACTCCCGCACACTAAGGGCAGGTGTTAGCAAGGTGCCTCACAACCCTGGGAAGCATCAAGCTCTAGCAAGCTGCACTGTGTTGTGTTTATGGTAATAAACATACAATTGAAAGCCAGAATAATGGCGATGAGCCTGGTCCCACTCCCACTGACACCAATGAGAATCTTCCCACTGAAGTCAATGAGAGTAGGGACAGTGCACACAACCCTAAATATTCATGAGCAGCCACTGATTTTGGATGCCCAACCTGAGACGTCCAGGAGGGATTATTTCAGCACTAAGTGTACAGATTAAGAATTGAATTTAGTTTTGAGGAGTTCTATACAGCTTAGAAAAGATGAGAAATTCTAGCTTCCACACAAAAACTGTACGCTTTAGTACAAGGCAATATCGTTTATAATGCTCAAAGACTGTGAATTTTGTTTAAAAAGTCAGGACTTACAGAAAAACCGTCTGCCATTTTCCTGAAACAAAGACAAAGGAGACAGTTAATACTCATTTTTCCCACATTCCATCTACAAGACACAGATCTTAGCATTGCACTTTTAAAAGTCACACGGGTTTATATTTAATATGTGCTGAAGAACATATCCCCTATGTCTTGCTTGCCAACTTTTCACCTCAGAGTATTGCTTCTTCCAGAGTGAATGTCTCTTAACTACACCAAGGACTAATGACATCTATATGAAACATTGTTATCTAAATATTAAGCGGGAAGATATCAGTGCCATACTAGATGTTACACTGCTGGTACCTGGACCGATGTTTAAAATTAGTGCCTCCTTACTTAGATGATGTTATTCTCTATATTAACCCCAAGGGTTGAGACCTTAATGGGAAGCAGGCCAATAATCGCTGGAATCTTCAGTGCTCAAGGACTGCAAATTAAATGGATAGTTGCTACATTCTGAGATATGTATGCAAGGGCCATTATCTTGGCAAGGGCTTTGCTGTAAGGGACTTGAATCAATACAGTTATCTTTCCTGGATAGATGGACACCAATCTGAAGTGTATCATCTGTGGGGGCTTAAAATCCAGTTAAGGAAATACTGTTTAATCACACAGCAGTCATGTACAGCAGCTTATTCAGTTATACAAGTCCTGATTCAGCACATCCTTAAACACCAGAGTAATCCCAATCATCTCAAAATTAAGCAGATGTATATTGCTGAATCAGGGCCACAGTGAGAGAACAAGCATGGCCGAATTTCTGTCTTTCCAACAGAAGTGAGCATCCGATGAAGTGAGCTGTAGCTCACAAAAGCTTATGCTCAAATAAATTGGTGAGTCTCTAAGGTGCCACAAGTCCTCCTTTTCTTTTTGCGAATACAGACTAACACGGCTGCTATTCTGAAACCTTTTAATTAATGGAGCTCTCAGATAGACAGTATGAAAAAGATCTGACAGGCTGTAACATCTGTGTTTCTATTGTCTGTCATTTTCCAGATAAGTATAATTTGCACTTGAGATGATTTTTGTACTGACAGTTTCTTACTGAATCTTTGTTAGGTAACAAGATTTCAGCCTTTCCACAAACTGTGTTCTGATTTATTTATTTATTTTTTGAATGGCTGCCAATTCTGATAAGTGTAAAGCCAGTTCCAATATCCTAGAAACCAAATTTGTGACATTGGTGTAGGGTGACCAGGTGTCCCGATTTTATAGGAACAGTCCTGATTTTGGGGTCTTTTTCTTATATAGGCTCCTATTACCCCCCACAGCCTGTCCTGATTTTTCACACTTGCTGTCTGGTCACCCTACATTTAAGTCCAGAGTAACTCCCCTGAAGTCAATGAAGTTACTCTGGCTCTACATCAGTGTTACAGAAATCAGAATCTGGCCCTGCGCAGTGCATAAGAAGCAAAAGATAGAGCTACACTAAGAGTAGTCAGCTTTAAATTCTCCTTTTTGTCAAATACTTTTCATCACAATGTTTTCCTCTGGCCACCACAGTTGGAAATCGATTTGTATCAGTAAGTGGTAACACAGTTATAGTTACAGACATGACTATATGGATGGAGCTTTGATGCTATTTATTCAGTCTGTAAATAAGGACCACATCAAGTTTGTTATCTTTGCAAATCAAGACTTCTGCCAAATTGAAAACTCAGTAGGAAGAAAGAAAAGAGAAGTCCCACCAATTCAGTTCTTCCTGCTTCCAGGAATGAAGATTTTGCAACCAGAGATTTGCTAGCACTTTAGTTATTATTTCTATAGTGCTACAGGAATGCAGGACCCTTTACAGTCACATAGCAAGACAAAGTCTCTGCCTGGAGGAATTGCAAGTGTCTGATTTAGACCAATACAGACAAGTAAGGTGCAGGAGCCAGAGCAAACAGTGCGTGAGAGGAATTCAGCATAGTGCATTAGGCAGAACAGAATGCAGCCCGCTCCAGCCGCGAGCTGCAGAAGATGGTTTGTGTTAGTGAAGTGGGCAGACGTGCCCCAGACACACAGCAGCCTTGTGCAATAAGAAGGTGTCATTTTATTTCGTTCTTTCCCCTGACTGTAGCTGCATTTTAAGTCGCACAACGGAACAGCTTGTTTCAATTGTTCAGATGCATAACAAGTTTTCATCTCCATTCGTCATGTGAGTGGTTGCGACTCTTATCCTAGGAGACACAAGTACAAAACCCAGAGACTGTTCACCTCCCATCCCCCACCACAGAGGATGTTTTGACATACTTTAAAAAAAAAAAAAAAAAAAGGCAGCCCAAAGTTTTTGGAGCAAAAACCACAAACTACGTAATGGATTTTAAAAAAAAAATGTTAAGTTCAGGGATATCTCCACAGTAACTTCTCTTGGAAAAAACGCTTGGCTGATTTGTGTAGCCTTCAGCTAATGCGTGGCACAAATATGAGTCAGGACTTCACCCATTTTGATCAACTGCTCTCAGATGGAGTAGGATTCTCCTTCCATTAATAATAAAGAAAGTTTGGTTATGGCATACGACTAGCTTATCTCAGCGTGTCAGATAATGCTGTACAGTGATAAAATTCCCAGCTTGATCTTGCGCTTTTCATCAAAAGTGCTTTACAAAGGAGGCATCATTATCCCCATTTTACAGACAGAGAAACTGAGGCACAGAGTCGTGAAGTGACTTGCCCAAAGTCACCCGGCAGAACAGTGGCAGAGCCAGGAATAAACTTAGGTCCTTTGAGTCCCAGACCAGTGTTCTAGCCACTCAGCTATACTACCTCTCTAGCAGTATACTAGCTGAAAAACTCCCACTGACTTCAGAGAGAGCTGGGTCGGCCCCTAAGTTGTTAACAGAGCATCAGTCGTCATTTTACATCCCTGCCACTCAAAACTGCACCTGCTTTTTAGATGAACAATTCCATCAAAGGTTTCAGAGTAACAGCCGTGTTAGTCTGTATTCGCAAAAAGAAAAGGAGGACTTGTGGCACCTTAGAGACTAACCAATTTATTTGAGCATAAGCTTTCACTTCATCGGATGCATACTGTGAAGTGAGCTGTAGCTCACGAAAGCTTATGCTCAAATAAATTGGTTAGTCTCTAAGGTGCCACAAGTCCCCCTTTTCTTTTTGTGAATCCATCAAAGGGAACCAAAATCGGGCTCCAAACATGAGCGGCACTGAGGCCAGCAAAGGAAAGAATTAAATTTACCCAGCAACAGAAATAGTTACACTGGCACTGAGCTGGGACAGAGAACGTCTTTGTTAGCTGCTTGGCTGAACTGCACGTACATCCTCTGCCAGAAGCAGGAATCACTGCAACGCAGCCAGTAACATGGGGCCAATTCTTTTGTTTTGTCCTGTCTTTTTGTTCTGTGTTTGTACAGCACCTAGCACACTGGGGTCCTGGTCCTTGACCAGGGCTCTTAGGTGCTACCGTAACACAAATAACAACTATGCAGTAGACCGGGGTGGGCAAACTACGGCCCAGGGGCCGCATCCGGCCCTTCAGATGTTTTAATCCGGCCCTCGAGCTCCCACCGGGGAGTAGGGTCCAGGGCTTGCCCCTCTCCAGCGCTCCAGCATGTCCCCTCTCCAGCTCCCAAATGTAGGGGCAGCCAGGGGGCTCCACACACTGCCCCTGCCCCAAGCGCCGCCCCTGCACTCTCATTGGCCTGGAACCGCAGCCAATGGGAGCTTCGGGGTGGTGCCTGCGGACAGGGCGGCACGCAGAGCTGCCTGACTGCCCCTCTGCATAGGAGCTGGAGAGAAACATGCCGCTGCTTCCGGGAGCTGCTTGAGGGAAGCACCCAGAGCCTGTCCGGAGCACCCTCCTGCAACCCCAACCCCTCATCCCCAGCCCCATCCCAGAGCCCACGCCCCCAGTCAGACCCCCCTCCCCACACCCCAAACCCCTGCCCCAGCTCGGAATCCCCTCTCGTACCCTGAACTCCTCATTTTTGGCCCTATCCCAGAGCCCACACCCCCAGCCGTAGCCCTCACCACCTTCCACATCCCAACCCCCAATTTCATGAGCATTCATGGCCCGTCATACAATTTCCATACCCAGATATGGAACTCAGGCCAAAAAGTTTGCCCACCCTTGCAGTAGACCCTCACTGCACGTGCCTTGAAGATTTCAGTCTAAATGAACACAAACAGGGATATGCAGTAACTCTGACTTCCCCTCACCAGAAACTGATCCCATCACCGTATCCATCCATAGGAGAGTTGATAATTATGCAAATCAGTGTTTAAGAGTATTAACTACTATTACGGCCACAATGCAGCAACTAATTGTATAAGATAGCCTCCACTTCTCAGTGTGCACACACCAGGATCTGCAATTTTTGCACACTCACAGATGCTAGAAATTCCACCATTCAAAACACATTTGAATACATTAATTCAATCAACTGGAAACACAAGTGTGAATGCAAAAATTGCCCTATGAGCAACAGTGCATATACAATTATTGATCTGTATTATGGTAAGCACCTGGAAGATCCAAACGATATCAGGGGGCCCTTTGTGTTAGGTGCTGTACACAACCTAGGGTGGGTCTATGCTAGAATAATGGGTACATTTGGACCTGCTCTGGGAAGGCAAGGGATGTTGCAATGTAGCCACACGAGGACATGTTGTGGATAAGTGGAGGTTAGTTAACACACTCCAACCTAACCTCAACCCACTTTTCTAGCACAGAGAAGCTCATAGTGAGAGACAATTCCTATCTGGAACAGTTTATAACCTAAACAGCTAAGACAGACAAAAGATGGGAGGGGAAACTGAGACCCGATGGGGGGAGGGGAGAAGTGACTTGGCCAAGGTCACACAGTATGTCCAGTCACTTTGGGACGAGCTGGCCCACTAGCAGACAAGATGATGGGACAGCAGCCTCAGAATGAGGAGGGAACATCAGAGCTACAGTGGAACAGAACCGAATAGCGCAGCTAATTCAGAGTGGGATTCCCCTTTCGTTCAGCGTAGACACACAGGGACATCTGAACGCTCTCTGTGTAGCTCAGGGGCAAACCGCTGGAAGGAACGAAGCACAAACGACAACTCCTTCCCCTGGTTAAAAGCATGGGCCAAAGCGCTACTGAAAGGGGCACAAACCATTTCAGTCCCCATTTCTTTACCCCCATCCCCCCCAGAGGTTTGCATGAAGCTCTCCAATTCTGCGGTGTTGTTGTTGAGACTGGAAGACTCCTCCTATTGAACACAACAAATTACAACACAGAGCCGGAGGCTGAGTTCTCAAGCTGCGAGACATCCAGCCTGCAGGTTGAGAGTGTGCTGTGGCACTGGTAATCCAGCCCAGGTGGCGTTTGTCGGTCTGCCCCGTGCCATGCTGAACTGGCAAAGCTGGAGGTGGTGTTTTGTCTCTGACAAATCAATACCGTGAGGCCTGGATGTCTGATCCAAAGCCCACTGAAGTCCACGCAAGGACTTCGGGCCCTATCTTGCAAGCCTGCATTGCGAGGTGTCAGGTTACCGCTGGGTGCTTTTCTAAATAATAAACTCTTACTAAAGTCAGGGGGGATTCCATGTGCAGATGATTAGGGCCTTACATTTTGCGTGTCAACGGGGGGAAGAATAGTTGAACAAGACTCCCATCCTGAGAGGCAACACCTTAATGATGCCACTGGAGATCTGGTCCATCTGCTACACAGATTATGAGAATTTTTGCCCTGATCAGTACTCCCAACCTGAGTGTTCCTAAGCCTAACGATCAGGGCTCCCTAAAATCAGGACATGTTTTTTTTTAAATCTCAATTTTTAAGCCAAATATTCCTTTTTGGGTTCCTTGTATTTGCCTTCTGCTTTTTACATCTTTAGTATTCACTTTTTCAGGATTGTCTCTGCAGCTGTAAGGGCTAGAAGCATCCTGTTTCAAATGGAATCCGATTCTCACATCATCATGTGACTCCCAGAGCTGGGGCTTTAGGTGGAGACACCAAATATCCTGAAACTCATGACAAAGCTGAGAGAGGTGGCAACATCCCTTCCTCGTGCTCTGTGCAGACCAACAACAACTCATGTCTCCTCACCCCTACAGGAATGTTTTGTTTGACATTTGAACAATAACTCTGTATAGATAATAATGTTTTGTCAGCAAAGGCTATTATGGTTTTCAGAGCCATAGCGAAAGGTCTAATTAACCCTTGGGTTTCAATGCGCCATGAGCCAGGCACCATCAAAGGATTGTCTCAAAAACACCAGGAATCCCCCCACACACACATGGCTCTGTAGCAATTCCACCATCAGCACCCCTGGCCAACTCAGCTCTCCTTCCGCCCCCTGCATGCTGTGACAAGCAGCTGACACTCTGCTCTTTGGCTGCCTGGAACAGCTGCTGCTGGAGGAAACAGAAAGCCAGCCTGTGGCCCTTTGAGATCCCTCACCCTGCAGGCTGCTTTTCCGCCCACCCACTGATCCAGGGCTGTGTGTACATGCACACACCCAAGGGAGGGTGAAGATTCAGAAACACAGGGATTGAAGTCACATGACAAAGTTCATTACAACCACTTTTTCCACTCATAGCTCCCCCCAAATCTCCCCTCATGGGCTAACCCTTTCCATGCTTGGCATCAGACCTTTGTATTTTGGAAAGTTTGAGGTGAACCCAGTCGCTCAGTTGCACAACCCCAGTTGCCCCGCAGCATGCCCACCCGCCTGCCTCCATTTTTAGAAAGGAGAATTCAATACAAAACCCTCGGTTAATACAGCAATCAGGCTGCAATGAACGCAGGAATGCCAGGAAATGAAATGATCAGCGTTCCTGGCATTCACATCGCATGCTCATAGTGTTTATTACTATCTGAGCTGATACTTACTATAAGGTACCCGCAACGTGGGCAAGTTAATACTGATTTAAGAACCTTTTAAATCACCAGCTTGTGTGCTTACATCTACACCCCTGGGTGTTACACTAGCAGCGGTCTTCAATTTTAGGACACACGCATTACTTTCTGGTCTGTGTCTTAGGGCATGAATTCTCAGCTTGGGTGGGCATGACCACCCTGCCAGGAGGGATCCCAGCTAGAGGCCAGGGATCACAGTGTTGAAAGGGGGACCCTGGTATGGAAAAAGTTGAGGACCACCATCCTAGGCTACACATCTCACAACCAAACACAAACATGAATATAAATGTTCGATCCTGCTCCTATTGAAAGGCACAGGAATTTTGCCGTTGAACTCAGTAGAAGCAGGACCAAAGCCAGCTCAGAGACATTCAACAGGGGGAAGAGCTACAGATCAAGAGACACCTATTCCTCCGCCTGATTAAGGAATGGATTGGCCATTTTAATATTCCTGAATCTCATCAGCTAAAAGGCTTGTATAGCTATAGGGAGTGGAGGAGTGGAAAAGCAGAGAGGGATGCACAGTGCATAGGGAGTAATACACACCTACTACACACACGCACCACATAGGGAGGGACACACACCTACAATACACACATAATGCATAGGGATTACACAGCTGTTTCTATTTCCAAGCAACGCAAAGCATAAGGGGCACCTTTCATTACCACAACAGATTTAACAGACGTGTTGACTCTGGATGTAAATAAACCCACAGCCAGGTCGCCGGTTCCTAATGCTATTCATTTGTGCTAGTCACACTCACACAAGCAGGGGACCAAAAAGGGGGAAACAGAGGATTTACATTCGCCGCACAGAAGGGCCCGATAGTTTCGTTGAGAGGCAGACTCCATGGACTAGACACAGGGCCCAGATTGATTCTAATCCTGTCACAGGCAAGTCACTTACCCCCTCCGTGCCTCAGTTTCCCCACATGAGAAAGGGGGGGCGTGTCACAGAGCAGAGGCTGGGCAGCACCGCACAGGGTTCCCGGGGTGCTCGGGTTAGAGTGCTGGCCAGGCCTCTGGGGATCCCTCGCTCCCCTCATCAGCTGGAGGCTCAGTGGGGGCTACCGCTGGCTGAGCCGCGGCACAAGGCTGCCTTCGCTGCGGGGAGGGGTGAGGACCGGGGCGGACCCCAGCCCAGCGCCAGCCAGGACCTCCCCGGACGGGGCCCCAGCCCCGCGGCAGGCAGCCCCCGCTTCCCCGCAGCGCCCCAGGGACAGCTCGTGGGCAGCGGGCGGGCACCTCCCCAGGGAGCCGGGGCCGCCCTGCCCCGGGGGAGGCTGCGCCCCCGGCCCGGCTCACCTGCCGGCTGCCGCGGACCGCGGGCTGGCACTGGCCGGGCGGCCCGGCTCCGCCCCGCGGCCGCCGAACCGGATCGGCATCTGCCCCGGCCACCGCTGGAAGAGCCGGAGCCGGAGCCGCGGGGGAGCCGGGGGCCAAGCGCCCGTCCCGCGGTCCGGGGATCGTGGGGACTTTGCGGCGCCTCCTTGTGAACAGGTGGGAGGGCGCAGGCCCCAGATGGGTGCGGGAAAGCGGCCGCCCCGCCGGCAGGGGGTCGGGACGGATCGCCGTCCCCTGCCTGCAGCTCTCTGCCGGGGCAGGGAAAGGGGGGACCCCACCGGGACGGGCTGGGCAAGCTGCCTCTTGTCCACACGAGCCACTCGCAGCCTGAACTGCGGAGATCTCGCTCCTGCGTGTGCACCCTCGCAGCGGGTTCCCGGGGTGCTGGGGTTAGAGTGCTGGCCAGGCCAGGGAGCGAGTGTGGACACCAGGCTGGGCTCCTGCCTGCAGCTCGCTTCCCCCCCATTCCAGCTTTGCAGAGCGGGGACTGAGCCTTGCAAGATAATCTACACAGAGGGGCCGAAGCAGGATCCCCGCCCTCTCATGGCTTCTCTGTGATGGATAAAAGGCCTGAGAACGCTTCGCTTTCATTCCGCTTCGCTTCGCTTCCCTTACCGTAGGAGTAGCAGGGCCGTCAAGCTTGCGCCTCTCTGTCCTCTCTAGAAGTCTCCCTCCCTTGGAGCGAGCAGGGAGTTTCCTTAGCGCGTGGAGACGGGGCAGGACTCAGCCTGCCAGGGCCAGTGGGTGGAACAGAAGGTGGGGCACAGGGAAAGCCCCAAGCCAGGGCCTCCAACAAATGATTAAGGAAGGAAACTGCAGTGATGTTGCTGTGGGAGACCTTCGTGCCCTGGAAATGCCTCCAACTTCATGTGCTGCTTTGTTGCTGGTGGTATCAATGAGGGTGAACCGCCAAAGGGAGGGGTTCGGGGACTTGAAATGGGAGCTGTCCCTCAGACTGAACTGGACTTGAGATCAGAGGCGGAGAGTTATATGGGCCCGTGCTCCACCAATATTCAGGAACATAGGCCCAGCTCCACCAATGTTTGGGCTTATATTTTTAGAGCCGTCCCGTCCATAGGACAGACCGGGCCAACTGCCCTGGGCCCCGTGCTTTCGGGGCCCCTGCACTTCATGGGGATATGGGGTCCAGGGTGGCCTGGGAGTTAGCGGGGAGGCCTGGCGCTGGCCTCAGTGAGCGACCTGGCCCCAGCCTGCCCCGCCTCTTCCCGCTCCTGCTCAGCCCCCATTCCACCCCTTCCCCCAAGCCCCCACCCTGCCTCTTTTGGGCTTCCGCCCCCTCCCCCGAACAACATTGGGAGCCGGCGGCGTGGGGCAGGGTGAGGTGGGCTGGGGCCAGGTGCTCACTGCTGCCAGTGCCAGGCCCCCCGCTAACCCTCCAGGCTGCCCTGGACCCCGTGTCCCCCTGAAGCGCGGGGCCCCCCAAAGCGGGGTGCCCAGGCTGGTTGCCCCGGTCCGTCCTATGGACAGAATGGCTCTGCTTGGACCCGTTCTGGGCACCACCAAAAATTATACAAACCTGGCGCCCATGCTTGAGATAAAGTAATGGCTGGGGCATGGATGGACCCTTTACCAAGGAGAGTTTTCCTTCCCCACTGTTCACTAAGCATGTGTGTGAAATAGGTGTTAAAGAACAAGCCCCCATGTTTTAAACAGAGTGAATAAAAATCAGTTTTCCTCTGAATTAATCAGCTCTGGCTTCCAGGGTAGTCGTGGGCTTCTCTTCCTATTGATTGGGAGAACCTGAGCTAATGATGCTGCTTTCAGCCTGGTGCCAGCTAACTCAAGCACTCCCGGCCAGGTTCAAACACGGTAACATTTCCTAATCTAAATGCAGACCTCTGTGGGGTCCCATATCCCAACAGCTTCACCAGCTGTCCACAAAAACAGGCTACACCAGGCCTGAATTTCTCATGTCAAAAAATAACCTGAAAACCCACCCCTTTCAGCCCTCCCTTCCCTCATCAGAAAGAAGCAAAAAAAAAGGCACCAAACTCGTTTTTCCCCATCGCAGGTCACCTTCCAAGGTGTGCAAGCTAAACTGGCTGTGCCCAAGCATTGTTGCTGCATAACAAAACCAACAATATGCCCACATGACTGTCCTGCTTCCCAGCTGCAACCAATAACTCACTGACTGTGTGTGTCAACAGACCTTCCGCCCTAAGTCAGGGAGCTCAAACGCTGCGGGCCAGGGGGTGTCCGTATCAGCACCTCGAGCAATAAAAGTCTTTTGCGACAACCGGGCCTAGAAGTTTTTGCCTGCTTGGCAATTGACCATGAAAAGTAGGTTAAGATATTTTTAATAAAGAATGTTTTAAGGAGGCACAAGAAAGCCAGAGGGAAAAACTGAATTAGTCCAAACAAAAAAGCCTACTGATATAACTGAAGCCCTGTGTGAAGATCATGCTTGGTAAATAAGAAAATGTGGTTCCCTTCTCTCAGTCTGGCTCTTTCAAGACTCAACTGCTCCCGTTTTGTGGCTTGGCCCTCCGGTCAGGTCATAGTAATTTTCCTCTTCCGTGGGTGGGTGCATGTATCAAAGTCTTGCATGATGACCCACTGCTCCTTAACCAAGCCTCTTCCCCAATGGCTGGTAGGGGCACTCAGGCCTACCCTCCACACTGGGTTCCAGCCCAGGGACCCTACAACATGCCATCAAGATCTGCACTGTCCTAAACCTTTACTGCTGTATCCCCATGGGCTACTTCCTACCTTGCCTTCGCTCTTTTCCTTTTTTTTTTAGGGCAAAGCAGACTTGACTAAATAGTCTATGGTTACCACCAACTATAATTCCTCAAGGCTTTGCAGATTATATCCCCTGGCTGTGCCCCGTGTCTTTCAGGTAATGTAGCAGCCCCTTTCTAATAACGCTCCATTTCCCTGGTGCTTTTACTAAATAATAATGTATGGGTTTTTTAACCTTAAGATGTTTGAATTCCTCAAAAAGCTTTTCCCTTTCTTTATCAAAGCCCCAGCATACCCAGAAAAGCGATCACCTTACTGAGGGCACATAGTCCATCTTAGTGTCTATTTATTTGAAAAAGATTCTTGTTTAAGTCACAATGTCCCAAGGGCGCCAGAGCCTTCCCCCCACCCCCAAGGCCCCACCCCTGGCCAAACTGGAAGCCGGAGCAGGGTCAGGGGGCCTGATCCCCCTTGCCTGGGGTGGGGTGGGGCTGAAATCAGCCCCCTGCCTCCGCCTAGGACAGGAGCAGGGACCCAGGCTCCCCACAGCTTCCCGCGCAGCTCGACCCAGTGGGGGGATGGGGGGTCAGAGCTGCAGCCCAGCCATGATAAGAAAGAATGGGCAGCTGTGGGGAGCCCTCAGTGGACCCTGCATCTGCTCGCAGTGCAGGGGGCCCGAGGAGAGCAGCCCTCAGCCCGTGTCTCTGCCCCCGGCCCCCCGCCCAGGGCAGGTGGAGTGTCCACACCACTGCAGCTCCCCACAGCTGCCCGTGCAGCTCTTATTATGGCCAGACAGCAGCTCTGAGCCCCTCCCCCCAACACGGACAGCTGTAGGAAGCTGGCACAGAGTCACGGACCCTCCACCTGCCCTGGGCCGGGTGGGAGGCTGCTCTCAGCCCCCCTGCATGGCGGGCAGGTGGAGGGTCCACACAGCTCCCACAACTGCCCGGGCTCCCCAGACAGGCTCCACACAGGCCTGGCCAGGTGTGGGGCCTAGGGGAGAAGATGAGGGGAAGGGGGCAGGGTCCACCCCAGCAAAAAGTGGGAGGATCACAGCCTAAAATAGGGAAAGAACAAGTCAAAAATTACTTAGACAAATTAGATGTCTTCAAATCACCAGGGCCAGATGAAATGCATCCTAAAATATTCAAGGAGCTGACTGAGGAGATATCTGAGCCATTAGCGATTATCTTTGAAAAGTCATGGAAGACAGGAGACATTCCAGAAGACTGGAAAAGGGCAAATCTAGTACCCATCTATAAAAAAGGGAAATAAGGACAAACTGGGGAATTACAGACCACTCAGCTTAATTTCTGTACCCAGAAAGATAATTGAGCAAATAATTAAGTAATCAAGTTGCAAACACCTAGAAGATAATAAGGTGATAAATAACAGTCAGCATGGATTTGTCAAGAACAAATCATGTCAAACCAACCTGATCGCTTTCTTTGGCAGGGTAACAAGCCTTGTGGATGGGGGGGGGAAGGGGTAGACGTGGTATATCTTGACTTTAGTAAGGCTTTTGATACTGTTTCGCATGACCGTCTCATAAACAAACTAGGGAAATACAACCTAGATGGAGCTACTATAAGGTGGGTGCATAACTGGTTGGAAAATCGTTCCCAGAGAGTAGTTATCAGTGGTTCACAGTCATGCTGAAAGGGCATAATGAGTGGGGTCCCGCAGGGATCGGTTCTGGGTCCAGTTCTGTTCAATAGCTTCATCAATGATTTATATAATGGCATGGAGAGTACATTTATAAAGTTTGCAGACGATACCAAGCTGGGAGGGGTTGCAAGTGCTTTGGAGGATAGGATTAAAATTCAAAATGGACTGGACAAACTGGAGAAATGGTCTGAAGTGAATTGGATGAAATTCAATAAGGACAAATGCAAAGTACTCCACATAGGAAGGAACAATCAGTTGCACACATACAAAATGGGAAATGACTGCCTAGGAAGGAGTACTGTGGAAAGGAATCTGGGGGTCATAGTGGATCACAAGCTAAATATGAGTCAACAGTGTAACGCTGTTGCAAAAAAAGCAAGCATCATTCTGGGATGTATTAGCAGGAGTGTTGTAAGCAAGACACGAGAAGTAATTCTTCCGCTCTACTCCGCGCTGAT